GGGAGAGGGGAGAGACACAGGGAAAGGGGGGAGGGAGAGAGATGGGAGACACAGGGAAAGGGGGGAGGGAGAGAGATGGGAGAGACAGGGAAAGGAGGGAGGGAGGGAGATGGGAGAGACAGGGAAAGGAAGGAGGGAGGGAGGGAGAGAGATGGGAGAGACAGGGAAAGGAGGGAGGGAGGGAGATGGGAGAGACAGGGAAAGGAGGGAGGGAGGGAGATGGGAGAGACAGGGAAAGGAGGGAGGGAGAGAGATGGGAGAGACAGGGAAAGGAGGGAGGGAGAGAGATGGGAGAGACAGGGAAAGGAGGGAGGGAGAGAGATGGGAGAGACAGGGAAAGGAGGGAGGGAGAGAGATGGGAGAGACAGGGAAAGGAGGGAGGGAGAGAGATGGGAGAGACAGGGAAAGGAGGGAGGGAGAGAGATGGGAGAGACAGGGAAAGGAGGGAGGGAGAGAGACACAGGAAAGGGGAGGAAGAGATAGGAGAGGGAGACACAGGAAGCGGGGAGGGAGAGAGATGGGGAGAGGGAGAGACACCGAAAGGGGAGGGAGAGAGATGGGGAGAGGAGAGACACAGGAAAGGGGAGGGAGGAGGAGGAGAGAGATGGGGAGAGGGAGGAAGAGAGACGGAGACACAGGGAAAAGGGGAGGGAAAGAGATGGGGAGAGGGGAGAGACACAGGAAAGGGGAGGAAGATAGGATGGAGAGGGAGAGACATTAGAAAGGGGAGGAAGAGAGGAGAGGGGAGAGACACACAGGAAAGAGGGAGGAAGAGAGATGGGAGAGGGAAGAGACACAGGGAAAGGGGGGAGGGAGAGAGATGGGGAGGAGGGGGAGACACAGGGAAAGCGGGGAGGGAGAGAGATGGGGAGGAGGGAGACACACAGGGAAAGGGAGTGAAAGAGGCAGAGGGGGAAGAGAGAGACAAAGAGGGAGAAATGAGAGAGACACACAAGGGGAGGGGAAGAAAGAGGCAGAGGGGGAAGAGAGAGACTGGGAAGGAGAGGGGAGACATTGACACAGAGGAGCAGTGAGGGGGAGAAAGAGAGGACCCGGGCAACACTCCGGCTCTCACGAGGGTGAACTCTAGCCCTGGAGCTACGGGCTAGAGTTCACTCTCACCACTTCCTGATGGTCGCAGTAGTAGGAGTGAACTCTAGCCCCATACACACACTGCCCCCCCACACACACACACACACCATACACACTGCCCCCCCACACACACCATACACATTCACACACTGCCCCCCCACACACACACCATACACATTCACACACTGCCCCCCCACACCCACACACTGAACCTTTCACACACATTGCACCCCTCACACATTGCACCACTGCAGCCCCATATCCCAGCAGACTCCAGGTAAGTTGTCAAACTATTCTTAAACGGTTTGACTACTTACTCTGGGAGGGGGTGCCAACACTCCTGGCACCATAACCACTACACAGAGGAGTAGTGATTATTGTGCATGGAATATTTCTTTAAATAATCTACAAATGCCCCTCCCGGGCTCAGGCTCTGGATCCGCCACTGGTATATGACATGTATATTAATGTGTGTATTAGTTATATATATATATATTATGCCTATTATATTTACACATATTAATGTACATTTATATATGCATAATACACAGAGAAATTTCATTAATATGTACCATATGTAATGAGCAGATATTGGCTTTTGTTTATTTTGAAGCCTATGAGTGCGCTTTTTACATTGAAGTACTTTTTAATTTTAAGTTATCTGTTCTAACTCTGTATCCGCACACTATGCTGGCGCGACGCATTATGGGGCTGGTAAATATTTTTTTCCCAGGGCTGCTTTTAATTCCCAGTCCGGCCCTGCCTATAGTTCTCCACATTTACTGAATAGGACAGTTTTATGCTTTGATTGCCGCTTAAGGTCATCAAAAAAATTTTTTTTAAATTCAATCTGATGATCTAAACTAGAAATAAAGTAAATTATTTCCGGGATATTTGTAAGGTGTAAGTTATAGATTATCGCTAGATGTACAATCACTGTGTCAAAGCAGAATCTTCAAACCTGCTCAAAAAAACATTCATTATAAGAACTCCTACATTGGGTTTGCAGACCATAGGTACCCGCTCTTATTGGTATTTAGGGCTCCCACCCAGTGCTCAGGGGTGGGGGCCAGGGGGGAGGACATTAGGTTCACCCCCCAATTGGTATTTAGGGCCAGGGGGGAGGACATTAAGTCCCCCCTCCCTTATTCCAATTTAGTGCCTCCACCCATTGCTCAGCGGTTGGGGGGAGGACATTTGCCCCCCCCTTATTATAATTTAGGGCCCCCACCCATCGTTCAGAGATGTGGGCCA